TGTGTGTGTGTGTGTGTGTGTGTGTGTGTGTGTGTGTGTGTGTGTGTATGTGCATGGAAATCTTCATATACGAGTACGAGATGATGAAATTGATAACAGATAACGACTGGCTCTGGTGTGAATGTCTGCAACAGCCAGTGTAATCACAGAAAATGCCCCATCAAATAAACGAGAAATAACATCATCATCATTAATTCAGCTTGGGCGATCAAAGAGAGTTGGTTTATGTACAGAAAACTTAAATGACATACGCGCGTACATTCTTACACATAAAAATTCATTACCAGCATAATACGTGTGAACCGGTAAATGGCATATGTATGTATGTATGCACATATATTTGTTTTTCTTCTTTTTCTTTAGTTATTATTGTTGTTAATATAATTTGGTCACTTTGTGTTAAATACGCCATGCTATCAAATTTAATGTTATTTACAATCTGTAGATGCTCGACACGCATATGCACATACATATATCTGTGTATATGTAGTTACATATATAGATATGTATTCGTATTTATAGATATAGTTATGTGTATATTTATAGATATAGATGTATTTATGTACATACAGTTATTGAAATTATGCTTAACATATTTTATGTAATCCTGCACGCAACCCTAAAACTGGTGTTTGCGAGATATAATAGGTGTGGGGCAGGGAGTAGCAGAAACTACAGTTAGGTCGAGATAAATCAAACGATTGCTAATAACAAATTCTTAGTTGATAAAAAATGCATCTTTAAAGGCCTCATATTATAAGATCTATAAGATAAGGTTGTAAAAATAGATGAAAGTTTCTGTACCATTGATAATATTTTCTTTGCAAAATTTGTCACTCGTAAATGATATCCGTAAAGTACCGATGCATAAAATGTAATTGAATGCAAAATTGATTGCCATATAAGCATGTTTTAAAGAAAGTTTTATCTACGGTTAAAAATTTTTTTCTAATCCAATGTACAACTGCCTTATATGTTTTGGACGAGAGCACATTCGAACATATATAACGAACAAAAACAATTATTACAATTATTGTCTTTTTTTCTTCCAACTTCTTCTGCTCTTTGATTAAAGTCGTAAAGAAAAGAAAAAAAAAACAAAGAAGACTTAAATTAAGAATTTGTACTGTTTTCATGAAAAGTGTCAAATAATTACTTAATGATGATGAAACAAGAGAAAAATGAAAGAAATATGTTTGATTTAGGATGTGAACGTGTTTTACAAAAGGAGAACGTGCCACATGCTAATGCTTAAATGCTGTTGGTGTGATAGTGATGGTGATGATGGTCGTTGGGGTAGTGATTATGGAGGGAGAAGAATATACACCTTACATAATCTGTATTGTATCTTTAGCAAGCTGCACAATAAAAAGATATACTAAAGACCACTTTATTATTACTAGGGAAATGAGAGAAATCTTGGTTGCTGAAGCAAAAAATAATGACGATGGTGGAGCTACTATTATATGGTTATTTTAATGAGGAAATCGGGTAACAGCGATGGTAACACAAAACAATCATCAATATTTTAAACTATTTGATTAAGGTTTTTTTTGAAATTTTTTCAAATTATTTAAAAGCAAGTACTTACATTTTTACAATCATCAAAGTCCATACAGTGATGCCAATCTTGAACAAACTGCAAATAAATATTAAATAAAAACATTTTTATAAAAACAATTTCTTAAGCGTATCACAACAGTCAATATGTTCGCGAAATGACATATATATATTAGGTGGTTGGTATATAGGTTAGGTGGTTAATTTTGATAGTTTTTTGACTTGAACTTCTTCCCATCTTCCTGGCAACGTGGCGATACTGTTTTCGAAGAACGTTATTGGTTTGACAGCAATCTAATCATCGACCCATTTTTAATTGACATCAAAATCACCACGTTTCAATTGTCGAAGCGAAAACCAAACAATGATGGAGCAGAATTACCATAAGCTTCTGTAAGTGTTCGATGGACTTCGGCAGCAGATTTCTTCAAATCAAACAACGAAACTAATAAATGTCGAAAATGCAACATTAAGCGTTCCATGGTTAGCGTCTGCACTGAATATCTCAATAATACCAAATTGAAAACTCTTATTTTAGATGTAGAAGTCACCTATCAAGATTAACGCAACCACATAATAACTTAGCATGCATATGATTTTAATGTATATACGTTGTTTTAATATATATACGTTAGTTTTGTTTTTGTAAGAGAAGAAGTCATTAAAAAAAACTGTAACTTATGCACTTAAAGTCATTGGGATTCTTCAATAGGTTTCTTACATCCGTGTTTTATCTTACGAATTTGAAGTATTGTGTTTGAATTATATTTTGTGTATATGAATATATGCATCATTAGGAATATATATTGCCACATAAGCTGCTAATTTAGAAATATGAGATTTTTATTACCACTAGACTACTTCCTCTATGTGTATATATATACATAAAGTATTTTCTAAGGATATTAAGTTATTCTTAAATCTAACTAGCAAAAACAGAACTTTTTCAGAATTTTTTTACAAAATATTGTAAAAAAAAAAACATGTCTTTATGTAAATTAATTAATATTTGACAGGACAACATTTTTATACTATGCCATCAATGACGAAGAAATGAAAATAGCACAGCGTGAATTCTATTTTTAATCTATAATAAATATTGTATTGAATATAATATAATTTACTTGAAGCGTTCGGGAAAAAAATGATATAAGTGACGGTTTTCTCGGAAAAAGATTATTAAGAGCAAGTGGAAGTCTTGCCTTGAGCCTATGAAACGGTCTATTTATTCAAGTTGACTTTCATTGCAATCGGGACTTTTCTTTAAAAAAAGATGTTAAGCAGAATGTTACGCTGATGACAAATAGTTTTTCATCCTCTCTTCGCTTTTCTCGCGGTTAACACATATTTTTGGTAGATTTAATGAAAAAATAATAAATAACTAATCAGCCTATGTATATTTAATTGCTCTATAATGTCTTATAACCGGGTAACCGTACTGCCATTCTGTTGGAAAATAATGGTGTCTTATGCTGTTATTAAACTGTCTTTATTTTATTGCCTTTTGCTGAGTTACTGGATTGAAGTGATCTCCTAAACTGCTTTTTCTTTCTTTCCTTGTGTAATGTGCTTGGTGGCGCATCTGCAGTGGTTTATCAATTTCTCAATTTGTGACGAATTTGGAGAGTGTATGCATTGAGCTATTTCTTTATTGCTTGTAAGAATGGCCCTTCGTAAGAAGGATAGCATGTATTCAACGTGCAATAACTTGATTACTAGCCATGGGTCTGTGGATTGCGGAATGTATATAACATGGCTACATGCCATGGTCGATGATGATGGCCCACTTTCTGCTTTTTGCTACATTTGCGCAGACTGTAGAGAAAGAATGGCGAATTACAAGAAGCATACCTCTAGTCTGATGGCACAGAACCCTGCGACCTCCCTTGATGCCATTTACTTTAAATCCATGATGGATGGATTAACTGTGAAATTACAGTTATCGATGGAGTCATTGAATGATGCCTTAATTGCTCTCAAATCGGAACTGAAACTGAGTACTGAGAGGATGACAGTTACGGTAGAATCCTGTGAACTAAAGGTTGATCAAATTAACGATGTTACGGACATAAGATTGGGGGCAATGAATGCGGAAATTAAGATATTATATAGAATTGTAAACAGATCGAAGTTTAACATTAAGGGTTTGCCTGAAGGCACTAATGACATACCAGGAACAGTGATAGAGACAGCAGAGCACTACTCAGCGCCTATTGCACTGCATAATATCAATTTTGCTGGCTATACGGAGAATAACAAAACTATAATGGTTAAACTGAATTCATTTGGGATGCGAGACATATTGATGGGCAAGTACTTTAAGAACCTTAAAATTCATCCACTTTATGCTGTGAACTGTGTAGATGACGCTAAATTTACACAAGGGATTCTGCAGCGACGCTGTGTAGAACTAGTTCCTATGTGACTTAGTGGTGTATTTTAGGATAATCGATATGGTTTGCGCTGGTAACGTAGTGTTGTATAATGTATTTTTAGTTTAATATTATTGCAATTGAACTCTTTTTTAAAGTAGTTATCTTTATATTTTGCAGTTGGGTCCCTGTCTTTTTACTTAGATTTAATTGTGAATCAGTTGACTAACCATAATGTGGGTCCCGTTGCGTGTGGTAGCTCATATATCTTTGAATCGGGTAGTACACTTTCTGAACAAATAATGATAATGGATATAAAATACCGGTGTATTAAGCCTTCTTTACGCTCCACGAAATTTGGTGAATTCAAGGCTGCGATTATGGACAAATTTAACCTCATTGCTATCTCGGGCACGTGGTTAAAACCCCATGTCTCTTGTCTTGCATATTCCTGGCTACAATCTTATTAGAAATTATTAGATCGACGGGAAGGTGTGAGTATCTATAGAGCGAATGGTATTAGTTTCAAGATAATTTTTGAGGGCTTTGAGCACGGTGAGTGCGAGTCGCTGTTCATTGAATTGGACGTTGGAGCAGTGAACATTTTTTCTGCAGTAGTCTATTTGCCGAGTGGGAACATTAGGGCCTTTGAAAAGTCATTTGCAGCTATTAACGAAATACGCGACAGTTATTATTGTTGGTGATTTTATTGGCAACCTCTTCGGTGTAACTAAAGCTAATGTTATTTGATCTCTTTGCTAGAGGTATAAGCTTACTATGTCGAACAATATAAGACCTAGGCACTGAGACTAAGTGCACCAAACTACGTCACTACTTGACTTTTGCCTGCTTAATGATAATGCTCTGCTTAACTATTCTAATGAAGTGCAATGCTCTTTCATGTCTTATCATGCATTGATCTATGCCAGCTTTAATGGTCAAATGTAGGTACGGCTCGTTGTTGATAGAATGCAGGAATTTTAAACATATTAATTGGGGTGGGCTCTCTGCATGTGTATCTGGGTTTGATTCAACCACTTTTCTGAATATCACGAGCGTTGATATGCAGTCCGAGCTTTTGTATTCGCTTTTGAAATCGTTATATTCTTTTGTTCCTATTGTCAAAAAAGTAATCCCCTGGGAAACTGATAAGTGGATAACGTATAGTTATCTCAAACAGGCAATGCTCATTAGAAATTATGCATACTCGACTTGTCAGTCTACTGGATCTGTAGATAATTGACAAGCTTACTGCCGTTATCGGAATAAACCCAAGAAAACTATTCGGAAGGAAAGAAGAAAATATTTTATCAACGTGTTTGTGGGCATGCACTCCTCTAATTTATGGTGAGTATTAAGTTGGGCGGGGTACATTAAGGGGAATCTTTAGATTCCGCGGGGAGGTGGTGAATGATCATTTTGCAAGTGTATCGTATTGTGACTTGCCAGTTGACAGTGAACCTTAGAGAAATCTGAATTTCCGCGCACCTTTCTCATTCTCTCATGTATCATGTCATAAGCTAAATGTAGTACTTCACAAAATTAAATCTAAGTTCAACATTGTAAAATATATTCTCAAGGCCCAGATTATTTCTGCTGTACTGAGGCTTATTTCACCGTCCCAGTATTCGTTTCGTCGGGAGTATAGCGCCACGAGTCTATTAATAAGCTCAATGGATATTATTAGGAGTAGTGTGAATGCTCTCGCATGACGTCGCTGGTAGCTTTGGGTCTATCGAAGGCATTCAACAATTTCAATCACCGGGGACTTGTTACAAAGTTAGTTGCGCAGTTTGGTTCTTCTAAATCGACGTGTTAACTGGTGTATTCCTACTTAATGGGAAGATCTGAATTCGTTGACATCAGTGGTGTTTATTCGACTACCTGTCGAGTATATGCCGGGGTACCGCAAGGTTTGATATTAGGGCCTTTGCTTTTCATGTTAAGGGTGTGAACATAAATTCGAATTTAACTAGTAACGACACCTACCATTTCTGTTAACATACCTCTGTTAACGACTTAACAGAGCTCATGTTAAATACTTACAATTGAGATATAGTTGGTTTGAAAGCCTAATCCGTCCATATTAAAAAAAAAAAATATTTTTGTGGACATTTCATGAATTCATATAAAACTACCTTTCAAACAAACTAAAAAAATTCAAATTCTGCTTATGGAAACTATTTCTAACGGTATTTGAAATTTGGCAAGTTAGCGAAAACTGCATATGAAAAACACCCAACTTTGACACTCTGGTGCGGCCAAACTAGAAAATGTCGC